TTGGCTTGGCCCAAAGCAAACACGAACACGCCAGGTTCACGAAGAGCTAAGAGCTTAACCTTACAGCAGTGACAGGTCACATGTCACTGTACTGCAAAGAGTCTGCATGGCCTCAAGTTATTGCTTCCGGGTTACTTATACCACATACCAGGCAACTCACAGACCCCGACGGACGGCCTGAAAACTTGCCTGGTCTTGCACTAGCCTTACAATATCAGCTGTGCTCAAGTCCAGTGTGCAGCCTCACAGCCAACCCATCTCACAGAGGGTCTTCCTCTCGTTTGCTGATGTCCTTTTCCAAGGCCAGGCCCCACTTAAAAACATGCCACAAGGATCAGATTGCTTAGACACACAATTATACCTAGAAATAGTTTAAAACAAGTATCTGCACAAGCAGGCTATAAATCGTGACTTCACAGCACGGGCTCGGAATGCACCTGTTTACATAATCTTTGCAAGAGTCACCTACAGTCTCGGATGTGATTCTCGGTACCTCTGGGCTTCCAGGGCCTGAACCCAGGGAACTTCTGCAGTGGAGAAGGGGGATGGGAGGCTCATGTTCAGATGCTAGCCCTTCTCTCAACAGGACGGCTATTTCTGGTAAATCATTCCGGACATGCCCAGGCACATTCACCAGTTCTCTGGAATACTTTCTGTCTGGGAGAAAACTGCCCCTCCCTGGGCTTGCCTGGACTTCAGGCATGGCTGCATTGCAGGTATAATGCTTAAAGGCCACCAAGCATTGGAGAAGGAACATAAAGAACTTCAATGGCCTCTGAACTAACGTCAAGACTCCAAGTGCAGTTAGGCCTTCTGTTGCAGGCCGTAGGGCTTCTGTTGTAGGCTGTAGTCTTCCACATGCCCAGCACTTAAAGCTCTCATCCAGTTTTAGAAGGATTAATATTTGCCCATCCTATCTTCCAAGAAAACAAAACCAGAAACCCACTTGCTCCTCTTTGGAGGAAGGTGATAATATGCTAATGAAAACCAGAGTCCTGATGATACAGTGCTGAAGCATCAGCTGCTAACCAAAAGGTCAGTGGTTTGAAGGCACCAGGTGCCCGCACGAGGAATGATGTGTGACACGCCACTTCCCTGAAGAGTTCCCGAGTCACTCTCCATTGGGGTATTAAATAGACAAGACAGACTTTGTGAACGAAACTTTTATTTACACTGTATCTAGAAGCAGATACATAAATTCTTATACAATTAACTTTCAAAAAATGTGCAAGAAATTACTATAATTTGTTTACAAACCAAAACATGTATTAAATCAATGGACTTTGGATCATTCTGCGGTATTCTCAGTACAAATGGTACACACCTGATTTGAGACGTACAGAAAAAGTGTAAAGTATAGCAATCTGGATCGCAAGTGTAAATTTCATGGCACTCCAACAGGACTATAAAATGTCTTTAACCCAACACACATAGTTATTACAAAATTCTATAAGAATTCTCATCTCTGGATGGAGAGTTTAGAACACGTTCAGAAACAGCAACAACCAAGTTATGACCGATTAATAAAAAGGATGTGTATAAAAAACCTTTGCAGGATTAAAAAAGTATTAAAAGAAACTTTTTTTTAAAATTATCAGAGTACCAAGACTTCTAGAATTTTGAAGTTACTTAATGGAACTGGTGGTTGTTATTACAGTATTCAACAAAAGCCTCCTTTGCTGGTAGTGTGTGTTCATTTCCAAATTTAAGAATTCACATTTGATGAAAAACAATTAGGATTTCAAAGGGAAGGATATAATTTCAATCAAAGAACCACCTCTCTCCTCTAAGAGTGTGAAATGTACAATCATTAACAGTGGTATTTCTGAAAGCATTAAGAGAAATGCGTAGACTTGCTGAGACTCTGAATGTAACCCCGTGATATTTTCCTTACCCTGGTGCATTAATACTGGTTCAGAAATGAGAACAGATCCTATTTTCTTTACTATATTCCAGTAACGAAGCTGTCTGGATATTGCTGAAGAGCTACGTGGTTGTTCTGGGCAGGTCGTTTCCTTTAAAACTATATTTCTCTTTAATGATCAATTCCTAGGATAAATCATTTTGATCTTCTAACACTTCAGATTATTGCACCAAATAGAAAGAAGATAGCTTTCCTTACACAGTGAGAGATTTTATTCAAGTACTGTCTAGAGCCTTTGTATTGTCTATTTTAAAAAAAATAAAACCATTACAGAATACGCATAATACACTGTCTGCTCTGGGTCTGCCTGATTGTAGCTTCTGCTCTCCATGGGGTTTTGTGGAAGGAAAAAAAAAAAGAAAAATTTCCGGCACGAACAATGAATCTATTTCCAGCTCTCCTGTTTTCTGGAGCTCAGACTTTAGAAGTAGGTATTTCAGAATCATAGTATCCTCGTGCCATCTATTCAACAGGATTCAAAACTTAACTCTATTTCCATCTGCATCTTATCACAGCATGGAGAACGTGCCCTCCTGCCCCTCCCACATGGACCAGGCCCCTCTGGCATCCTCCGAACCAATCCTTCGCACTGTGGCGCGATCTATGCCAAGTGGATCTTGCGCTAAATGTGGCAATGCCCCTTTCTGGTTTTAAATTAACTTCCTGGCAAATTCTTTGATTTTTATGGATATGAGAACCTAACTGTTTCACATTGGATCATAAAAGGGCATATTAAAATGTTCTATTACGGGTGTACCAAAAGCTGGCTTTTTAAATTAGAACAGCATCAAGACTTGCCCATCCCCTCGGACGCACAAAACACTTTAAAAACATCTAGATGAAAACCGGAAGGATTTTGATCCCAAGTGGCTCAAGGGTGGACACACAGCATCATGAGAAAAATGTGGGGAACAGGCTATGACCACGTGATCAACTGGGGTTCAGGGTGGCCCAAAGATCTCTGTGCACCATGACTTCACAAAGAGAACATGTAGATGCTTCTAGAAACATGGAGAAGCCATGTCAACACTTATTATTAATATACAGCGACTGACAATGCCTGCCATCTAATATAGATGCACAGGGATTTTTAACTCACCCTAGATATACTTTAAATTGTTTAAAAATAAATAGTCTTGCAAAAAAAAATAGCTTAAATGTCTTGCATTAATTTGATAACAAGTTTACAACTCTGTAATAGTTCTTCATCCAAATAGCTTATAGTGAACATTTATATTATTACAGTATTCTCCATATCCCATCTTACTGGGGGGAAACATCAGAAAGTGAAAGTGGAGTCTTCATAGCAAGGTACAATCAAGAGTCCACCCAAAGTAAGTACCTCCCCACCTCTGTGCAGTCAAAAGAAAACAGTGCCACCACCCATGGCATCGTGGCACTTTCCTGATACTATCTCACTTCTGACCCAGAAAGCAACAAAGAGGAGGGGAAAGAATTGGGGATACAGACCGGCTTGAATGGCAAAGCCATTATATTTGGTCCGAAACCCTTGTCCTTGTGTTTAAAGGGCGGGTGTTGATAAGAAAATGCCAAGTGACAGAGGAGGAAACATCTGAAATGGAAATATTTTCCTCTAAACCTATGTAACTGGAAACCTTTTTTTTTTATAGAGAACAATCCCAAAACGCTACGAAACAGTGCGGGCAAAGGAAAACAACTGGAAGAAGAAAAAAAAACCCAAACACCAAAAACAACAACACACAATGAAGCCAAAACCAGAAAATGAACCACTGGCTTAACTCCACTTCCACCACTGGAACAACTAAGATCGTTCAGTAAAGACCCCGTGTTACTCATGACTTAGCTAGTTTAAAAAGAGAATCTTTTTAAATGGCAGCCTCTCATGTTAAGCAGGTATCTGATGTGGTTTGGGTATTTTTCTTGCATCTTGCTCAACAAGTTCTATAATTTTTTCAGTTAGAGTCATTTAATTAAGAGTGGGGCTAAGTGGGACTGAATGTAGCACATTTCAAATCTTTACTACATAAAAGAATACCGTAAATTCAACTTTAAGACAATGCTTGCTTTTAAAAAATATCCAACTCAATCCAAAATTGTAGACACCTTAATGGTGCGAGAAAACCCAGTTTGTTTATGAAGATCGGTTGTGTAAGTTTAGTCAAACCCAGGAACAACTTTAGAAATCATAGATACAACACTTTACCAAAGAGAAGAACAGAACAGGCGTGCCCACAAAACTGCTACCACAGGAAACTACGATCAGCTCACATTTCTTCAATAACAGGTCTCGTTCCACAGGTCTTTAGATGTACACCAACTTGTACCAGAATCCAAAGACAGAAAAGGCAACAATTTCTACATCGGTGGAATATGTTTCTTGAAGAATTTTTCATGTAAGGCCATTTTTTTTTTTTAGTAGACAAACCACAAGGTGCAAATGAGGGTGACAGAAACACTCAACTTTTTACAACAAAAGGAGGAAAAAAAGTAAGTACAACCTGAAAAATAATTTAGAAATGAGCATTTAGAGAGACTCTCTGGCTTCTAAAAGGATGTTGATTCAGAGTCCTCGATCAATGTTCCTCCTAAGAGTTGGGACTACAAACTCACATTTGGTGTACGTGCAAATTCCATGTTTCATCACCTGGGGATGCCTGTCAATACCACCTTTTAAAAAAGGGCCATTTATTAGGAGACAATGATTTTCATTCTATTCATCTGCATTCAACTTCACTTAGGATTCAACACACATGAAATGTGCTTTTAATGCATAAAAATCACAGTGGATAGCAGCAAAGGATGTGGAGGGGAAGGGGAGCATTAGGGCAATCTGATCATTCACATTGTGATTATTCTGCAAATTGGGGAAAGTCATTCGCACTCCTAAAACCCCCAAACTTCCCTTTAGAAAGAACCAAAGTCAACCCAAGGGGCCTCCCACACCTACCCCACCCTGGGCCGGCCACTGACTCGACACAAAAAACAAATCAGTATGGCAACAACAGATGGACAGTGACAAGGGTCTGTAAACGGTATTTCGACGTCTCTAATTCTCTCTGGTTCCCAAAGTGCAAGAGCGGGGTCCCCGGCTCTGTCAGTAGTGCTTCTCCTGGAGATAATCCTTCATCTTGTTGGGCAAAGGCAGTTTCTGGATCAGGTCTATCCTGGTGTACTGGCGGATGACGAAGCGGCACAGGTACTGCAGCGAGCGCACCTGCATGAACCGCGACACCGGGTTGGTCAGCCGCACCGGGTAGGTGGCCGAGCCGGGCAGGCGCGAGCGCGAGTAGCAGAAGGCGCCGTTCTCCGAGTCCCTGATGGAGTGTTCGATCAGCTCCACGATGGACACATGGCCCTCCACGTCCGGCTGCTCGTAGAAGCTGAAGCGCCCGTTCGAGTGCTCGATCCGCGTGTGCAGGGTTTTCCCGTGAGAGCGGAAGCTCAGGCTGAGTAGGTAGCGGTCGTCCGAGCTGTCCCGCACCAGGAACGAGCCGTCGGGCACATTGGCCAGCTTGCCCTCGGCCTCCCAGCGCGTGATGGGCCCCCAGTACCAGCCCTGCTTGGCCAGCTTCTTGAGCTCCTCCGTGAGGCTGGTCACCACCATGGGCCCGCTGCTCTGCACCGAGTCGTAGACCCGGGCCACACCGGGGGCGGAGGTGGGGTCGAACGTCAAGTGGCAGCGCACGCTCTCGGCCACGTGCACGTCGGGGCCTGGCAGCCCCGCGAAGTTCCTTTGGCTCGGGTGGCTCTGCGCGGGAGGTAGCAGGGGGGATAGCGGGGGCGCGTCCTCGGGGCGCACGCGGGGGCTCTGCAGCAGGACGCCCGCAGGTCCGAGCAGCAGTCCACTGGCCGGGGACGCACCAGGGGTGCCGTCGTGCTCTGCGCCCAGGCCCGGCTCATCGCCGGGGAAGGCGCCAGGGCCCGGCCCCGCAGAAACCTCCATGGGCGAGGAGCCGTCTGGACAGCAGCTGCGGGAGCTCTCCAGCGGGTACATCCCCTCGTCCAAAGGCACGGTGTACTGGATGTAGTCCGGGGGCACCAGGCCCAGGACCACAGGCACATGCTCGTCCAGCGGCAGCCGCAGGTCCCCGGGCGCATCCCCGGCGTGCAGCGTGGCGGGCTCGGGGCAGGCCGGTTCCGGCTGCAGCTCGCGGAGGTCCTTGCGCACGCCGTTGAGCGCGGGCCCGGGGCTGGCAGCGTGCACCAGCGCCTTGACGCGCACCTCCACCTTGATGCACGTCTCTTCCGAGGCCGTGGGCCGCAAAGGCCAGGGCGTGGGGCTGTAGTGGTGGCTGCGAAGGGACGTGGAGCGCATGGGCCGCGGGGCGCGCGCGTCCTTGAAGGCCAGGGGCGCGGAGGCCGAGGAGAAGGTGTCCTCGTCTGCACCCGCCGGCGCTGCGCCCTTGCCACGCTTCTGCTTGGCCGACAGGCGCCGCTTGAGCGTGCCCATCAGGCTCTCGCCCTTGGCGCGCGCCTTGCTGCCTTTGTCGTCTTCGCCACCCAGGTCGCAGCTGGCCATGTCCTTGCCGTAGCAGCTGCCAAACAGGGAGTCATCCTTGCCGAAGTCGCCAGGGAGGGAGGGCGGCTGCACCACCATGAAGTCGCTGTCGTCTTTGCTTTTGTTCAGGTTGAAGGACTTCCGGATGGTCTTCAGGCTGATCTTCTTCATTCTGGCTGCTCGGTGGCCCGGGGGTCACGCGCGCTCTGGGATGCGGGCCCTGCGCACGGGGAGGGACAGCGACGCAGCAACCACGGCCTCTGCCCGCCTCACCGAGCCTCTGGAGCCATTTTCTGGAAGGGGAAGAAAAGTCACATTAGAAGGTCTTTCCGCACAAGCTTAAGTTTATGCAGTTTTCATCTTTTCGCTTCTGAACATCTAAGCACTTGGAACTTCAGTTCTCCCCGGCAAAGGAACTTCTTCTTTTTTTTTTTTTTTATGATATACATAAAACCATCAATTTTATTCCAGAATACATTATCTTAATGTGAATAAAATGCTTTTGTATGCACATACTGCCAATATATTTAAAAGCAAAGGAACTTCTTGACTACTGTTTTTCAATAGAGCTGTGACCTGTTGCCCACTGACTAATGAACGCTCACTTACCTATTCAGTCTGTATGCTGGGCACATCACTGCAGAAGGCGGACTCTATGAAGAACGTGGCATCAGAATTGGAGGAAGACTCGTCAACAGCCTGCATTACGCAGATGGCACAAGCCTTGCTCAGGAAACTGAGGACTTGATGCACTTACTGAAAATCAAAGACTATAATTTTCCTTGTATGGCTTACATCTCAACATCAAGAAAACAAAATCCTCAACACTGGGCCAAGAGGCAATATCACGGTAGAAGGGGAAATAACCGAAATTGTCAACAGTTTCGTCTTACTGGGATATATAATCAAGATCCTTGGCACCAACACTCAAGAAATCAACAGACACTGGGCAAATCTGCAGTCAGAGGTCTCTCCAAAGTACAGAGGAGCAATGATGTCAGTTTGAAGACATCAAGGTTAAATCACTTGCTATGTGTCGAGAGCTGAACGATGAATAAGGAGGACAACAGAATTGATGCGTCTGAGTTGTGGTGGAGAAGAGCACTGCATATGCCATGGACAGCCAAAAGGTCAATCAACTACATCAAATAAAGTGTCACCCGGTACTCCTCAGAGGCAAAGATGGAGACGCTTCATCTCATTCAACTCCTTATCTACTGGGCCCAAGTGGGGAAGGAGGACTATGTAAAAGATGGCGCGGGCATGTGGTCATCTACCTGAAAGAAAGAGTAAGTCAGATTCCACACTCCTACCATCAGCAAAAACAGATTAGAGAGAGACATAAGATCTACATAAAGAAACACCGTTTTGTTAGAACAAAGCCTAGAACATCTCTATGTCTTTGAGAGAGGGACACATTTCTTAAACAAGGCCCAGGAAGCATGAATCATGCTTCAGCTCCAACACACCAAAGTGAAGGGGGAAAAAAATCTCTACCAATTGGCTGGCCCATTTCTCCCGTGACATCAAGGAAAGCATGACCACCTACATGTCCCAGAACCCCCGCCCCGAGGGAGACGGTGCAAGCACAACCCTTCTTAGCAACAGAAACTGCATTTATCTGCCTTAACAGGCTCCAAACCGTGGCCTGATCAAACCTTCCTGTGTTAAGTGTTAATTTTCTGGCTCATTAACAATGAACCTAATTTTGTCCCCCCAAATATGGAGGCACCAGCTCACCCCGGGAGGAAGAAGACTTAATCACCAGCAGCCGTAAAACTAAAGGATGTGAGCAGAGAAGACAGCAATGCTTGTATTATCCCCAGCAAGAGGGACAGGCAAAGACCCGACTGATGACCAAACCGTGCGTGGCCCAGCTGCAGGCCTCATACTGTGTCGGCACTAACTTGAGTCTCGGGTGGTGAATGCATCCAAATCAAGCAACTTCAACAAACTAAAGAGTCCATCCTGGTCTGCACTAGCATACATCTACATTACAGACAGACATTCACAACCACTGTGATACACCCACAGTGGGGATACAGTGACAGAGTGGGAATACACCGGCAGAGTGGGGAATACACCCGCGGAGGAGGGATACAACCGCAGAGTGTGGATACACCCGTGGAGTGGGGATACACCCGCGAAGTGTGAAGCTAGGGTTTCCACCTGGAGCAGTGAGGAGAGAAGAGAGTTAACAACATGAGACAAGGAGTCCGAGGACCAAGAGACAACGTCCACTCCCACCTCCACCGCCCTGAGACCCAGTTATACTACTGCTGACCGCTCTGACAGGGGACTCAGTGCAGTCCTGGACAAAGGGAGGAAACAATGTGGAACAAACTCCAAACCCACCCATGGCTGGGCTTCCTGGTCTGCTGAGAGAACGGTGGATCTCCTAGGAGTGGGGCCTTACACCCTGGAACTGAACGCAGGGCCGTGGCTCAACTGTCAGCCAAACGAAAAACAAGCCTCTAAGGTAAATACCACCATGAGGAAGGTATGCACTTCAGGGACAACCACCACAGATTTAAACAGGAGACTTGCTTGCAACAAACTCCGCTCTTGATAACTAGCGTTTGTCAGAGCAGAACTGCTCCATGGGGCTTCCATGCTGGATTTTCAGGACATCAAGAGTACTAGAACCTTCTTCCATGGTGCTCTGAGCAGAACCAAACCCTCAATCTTTCAGTTACTGGTGAGTGTCTGACCTGCACCACTCAAGAAACCCAGCAGCTCTCTACCTGACCAGAGTTCTGCTGATGCAGTTTCTAGAAAAATCCTGCTGCTGGCCCAAAGGCCAAGCCTCTCTGGTGGTTCAAATCCACCCTATTTCTCCACAGGAGAAAAATGGACAATCTCCTTGAGCAATTCACACCCTCATAAACCTAATCCATCGAGGGTCAGCTAGGAGTCGGTTCCAACTCGACGGCATTGAGAGATCATCACTCCTTTTTCCAACTACCAATCTGTATCTAGCTCAACAAGAAGATGGTAAAAGCTGTGAACCATGCATAAGGCAGAAACCTGGCAGAGAAAGAAAACTCAAATATTTTCCACAAAACACGTAACAAATTCTATACTCTGTCATAGACGGAAAACCTGCAAGATGTGGAAAAACAAGGCAGTCCATTGAGCTTGGCTTCCCAAAGGCTTCACTGCATGAAGAAATAAGTCCTCAGCATTAGAAACTATAAAAAAGTTATATTAAGCCATATGGTCTTTTATCTCTTCCTTTCATCTTCTGGGCCAAGATTAAGCTGAAATTTTTAAGAGTATGTTTTTCTATTTGCACTTCCAAAAATACAAGCCATCTTTTTCACAGGGCCGCCATCTGTCCCAAGCACAAGGAAATGTTAGAGATGGTTTTGCTGCCTTCCTAATTGTAAAGTGGTAAGTTTACACATATCCCTGGAAATGCACACGAGGGTTCGGAGGAAAAGGTTCGAGGCACGCACACGCTGGCCATCTGGGAGGAAGAGGAAGCTTCCGAAAACCTCACCAAATCTTATTTAAAGGAATGACTTGAGGTCGTCATTAACATCTAATGAAAAAACTCAGAGAACCAACATTAAACAACTACTTAGAGCCTTCAACGAACAAAGCTCTTTTTAAGATCTCTATTTTACCAACAAGCAAACAGCTTTAGAAGACATTAACATTTTCCCAAATATTTCCAAAATAATTCACTACCAAGAAGTGGCAGCTCACAACTGTGGACCAGCTACTGGGGGTAGCACCCACAGCCTTGCTCTGCGTCCTGCTGTCCTGCCTGGGCTGGTGGTCAGCACTGCCAGTGCCGTAAGGCTGAATACGATTCTCAGCGACCCTATAAACACACCCAGTGACCCTCCGCACAGACTGAAGCCATGCCCAGTGCTGGGCCATCCCCCAATCTCGGTCATGCTCAAGCGCATGTCACAGTCACCATGTAACCCATCCCCAGGAGTGAATGCCTCACTTTCACTGACCAAAGGGTTAGCACACTTTGGTTACCACACTTTGTAGTCAGAGGACCCTTTTAAAAGTTTAAAAATGACTGAGGACCCCCCCAAAAAAGTGTTCCCCATGTGCGTTGTATGTATTGAAATTCAGCAGGGGAAAAAAAAGCAGAAAATGTAAAAATATTTCATTATTAATGGATTTTAAGAAAATGGTATTAAACTTATGTTACCATAAATAGCATTTTTTTTAAATAAACATACTCAAATTTTATTGCTTGGCACCAGATTTTTCAAAGATCAAAGAATTGTTTAACCACCATGCTGTTTATAAATTGTTATTTCAAACATCTTTATCTAGTGCTATTTTTATTTTCTGAAGGTAGACTGTTCAATCTAATGACAATCTAGATGGAACCCTGCAGTGTACAGTCACAGTTCACTCTGAACAAAAAGAAATTATTAATCTTCTGTTTTTGCCAAAATCATTAATATTAAGACATATGTAAAAATAACTACAATTTATCTGTGGCCAGTGATTGGCCCACAGATCTATGTCTTACGGCGTTCTCTGCTAAATCTTTGTTTGTTTCTTCTGTACTTTCAACTTCTTCTTCTGAAACATCTTCGTCAATTTCTTGTTCTTCCTCCACTTTTTTCAAAAGTTGAGAAGATTCTGGTAATAATTTTTTTGATGGGTATGGTTGTGGTGGCCTGTGCCTTTTTGAAGGACAAAGGCAATCTGCCACAAATATCATACAAAGTCCTAGCAACAGTCCTGAAAACAACGTTGCTAAAGCAAAAACGGTGTATGATCCCCACACAGGGAGTCCAAGGTCTTCAACCAAATAGTTATGACAAGTCCTGATCCACACAGATAGCTGAAAGAGTGCTGACATACTGCTCATCAGAACGGAGCCTGGACCAAACCATGATGAAACGGGTTCAATGCTCTTCCACTCTTTGTCACTTATGAAGTTGATGAAGTCCTTCTTTGTCCTTGGGCCCTGATAACACCTAAATTCACGATCTTTGCAATGATAAATAGTAGGAAGGGCAGTTATTATAAATCGTCCACTCAGTCCTGGCTGCTCTGTGACATCTACTTTTGCAACATTAACCTCAAGATCTTCTCCCCATTCGGCAAAGCTTTCCCATTCTGGTTGAAGATTCTGACAAGCAGGACACCATGGAGCATAAAATTCTATCATCCACTCTCCTTCCAGTAAC